GTAGGACACCTTAGAAGTAACACTAATGTCCTAGATCCTTTGTATCCGAGGCAACCGTTTCGAGGCAACTGGATCTTTTGGACAGAAGGGCTACCTCTAAGACACCTTATACTTGATGACCACATTCGAGGCAACCAGTGAGGCGTACCCTAAGAAGTGGCATGTGCTTTGTGTGTTGTTTTTCAGTTAAGGTTATCTTGTATGTTATTTGTGAGCTACAGATTGGTTTTATTTACATACATTCTTGCAGGCATTTTTTTAACAGTTAGGAGTGCGGAAAGTAAATTGCAGAAATGTAAATTCTACACTATACAAGGCGCGGGTCTATACATCGCCAAAAACAAAAACCCGTTTTGGTAAATAAATGCGAGAAATTAAATAAAGCGGTAAAATTCCTATTTAACTATTACATATCTGGAGACAGTTACATAAATAATCAAAATAAATAGATGCGCGCGAGAAGAAATTTAATCGGGAACGTCCTAAGGGTTTTGACCCTTTTAAGAAAAGAAATGAATTTTTTTGTCCTTTTTTGTGATTAAATGAAATTAAAATTAATAACTAATTAATTAATTTATTAAAAGAAAAATGTTTTTGTATTTTTATGTTTTTAATGAAATAAAATAAAAGGAAATAAAATTAAAAGTTAATAAAAACCTAATTCTAAATTTATTTTAGTTATTAAGAAAAAAAGGTTAAAGTTGCCTAATTAAAACTAATTCAATTTATTAGTATTTATTTACAAAAGTAAAATGAAATTAATAATAATAATAATATTAGTTCTTTTTTTTGATTTTTTATTGTGAAAGGGTTAAATAATTAATTTTGGTGATAATAATAATAATTAAAAAAAAGTTAATAACTAAATTAGAAAATATAAAAAGGAAAAGAAAAAGAATAAATCAAGGGAGGGGGTCTGGGCCCAATATGGAGGTGAAAATTGGAATCTGAGGCCCATTACTCATCCATCCACGTTGACTCCTTGGATCAAGTGTTTGTTGGTTGACTGAGTGCATGGTGAGGATCACTTCCTGGCCTTTGGATGCATGCCTGTAGCCACCCGGCGCTTTGGATTTGTGAGGCGCATGATAAGCCTTCTTTGAAGCCTACACACAAGTACGTAAGAAAAAATAATATGGGATTTTGAGGGGACCTGGGAAAACTTACAGCGCGGTATGATAGACATTAGGACGTGGCAAGGGTTGCTTTAGCTTCAGAGTATGGCAAAGAAGAGAGTCACTTTCTCCTTTTAGCCTGAAAATACTTGCAACACTCCTTCTGATCTCACACTTTTTTTTGACACTTTTTGGATTTTGCTCTGGCTGTTTGTGCACACTCTAGGTTGTGAATGAGGCTTGCAAGGCTTGTATATATAGTAATGAGTGAGAATAAGTCACATTTAGGAGCCTTTAACCATTGCAATTAAGCTTTGGATTTTGTCTTAACCACCATTAAAGGCCTTTCAAAGCTTGTTCAAAATTTGAATTTTCATGCCTAAATGAGCTTAGCACGAAATTGGTATGTGGAATATGACACATGAAGGCTAATCAAAACACAAGATACCATTTAATTAATTTTTTTAATTTTATTTGAATTATTATGGATTAAAATGAATTAAATCCATAAAAATTAAATAAAAATGGAAAATTAATTATTTGGTCTTGAAATTGATCATGGGACACATGGGTGGCATGACAAGGCTGAATCAAGTGGAAAAAAGTGGGCCCTTTTGTCAAAAATTGAAGTTTCAAGGATAGTTGACTTTTGCCATTTCACAAAAATTTCCCAACTTCTCCAATGCATATCTTGCTCAATTTTAATCATATGAACATGTTCTTGGACATTTTGGAAAGGTCTTGAAGTCCTATAACCAATGCCTTTGGTCCCATGTCATTTTGATTTACCAATATCAAGTTATGGTCTTTGACTTAAAATGCCTTTTTGTTGACTTTTGAAAATGACATATAATGTTGAAATTGGTAACTTTTTGTGAGAGCATTTCTTGGACTTGTAATGTGAAGATGAGTTGTAGGAAATGTCATACCCTTAAAAATTAGCATTGGATGGGATTTTTCTGATGAACCATGAAAAAGTTATGCCTTGGTCAAGTTACAGTTGACTTTTTCAACTGTCCAAAAATGGAAACTTTTGCATCTTGATGATTTTTGAGCCATGCTTGTGGAATCATGATCAAGACTTGATCAAATGATGATTGTGGCTTCAAAATAATATGTTGACCAAAAATTTTGACTTTTGACTGCCAAATGACCATTTTGCCCCTACAGTTGATTGTAGAGCAAATATGGTTTTTGACTGTGCAACTTGACCTTGTGAGCCTTGAAACTTGGCATATGGATGCTTGGAAATGTATATAGGCATATGGGACTTGATTGGACCCTTGAAAACCTCAACTTCCTTGCAAGAACCAAAACCCTAATTTGACTGGCTTAGGAGGGTGTTTGAACTGTGCAACCCTTGAGTAGACTTGAGCAAATTGAGATGATGCTTGTCAAAACTTTGAAGAATATGGGAGGGCAAATTTTGTGGTACAACAGTCGTGTTTCAGGCTTGTTGGAAGGTATGGAACTTGTCTATAATGTTTGTCTAAGCTTGTTTTAACAGATGTGTGATATTGTATATGTTTTGCAACTTTCTTCTCCTTTCAAGCAAACATGTGGAAGTGATGTTATAGCTTGGTACAGGCCCTCCTATCATGCTGCATCTTTTGCTCTTGGTTCTTGGAATTGATAGTTTCAATCTTGCTTCAGAGATATGGCCCCATACCTCAAGGATTTTGGTTTGACATAAAGTGCACTTTTACAAAAATGGCATTTTACCTTTTTCCAAATAAGGGTTAATCTTGTATGTAATGTCCAAATGGCCAAGATAACACCTTAATTCAATGGTTATGCATTAAATTATGAAGTGCAAGTTGGTTTTGAGGCCTGCAAGCTAGCACCAAACATGCTGATTTGAAAATGCAAGTTTGTATGAACATGTATTGGTCATGGACAAAAGTGAGTTTTTGCCAACTTCAAGCATTCGATTCTCTCTAACCACAAGGGTGTTTGAAGAGTTCTTGGACAATTTGGAAAGCTTGGAATATGTACTATAATACATCTTTGAAATGAAATTTGAAACTCCAAGTGAAACTATGTAAAAAATGGCCAAGAAGATGGGTCAAAACCCTGCCTAGATTAGGGCAAATTTTCTCAAAGTTAAAAGTTTTAGGTACCCTTGTTCCAAAAATCATAACTTGAGATAAAAGCTTCTTTTGAGAAAACTTTGTGAGTAAAAGTTGTAGACTTTGTGATGGACTACAACTTTTATGTTGCAAGTTTTGTTTGAATCCATTTTAACCTTGGTGAAAAAATGGGACAAAGTTAGGAAAAAATAAGAAAATTTCATAACTTAGAAAATTTCTAAGTTATGAAAATTTTCATTTTAAACCCTAATTTGCATTTTTGGGTTTCTTAATGAACAAGTTTTATAATTTGACATGTCTTGATGAAAAATAACTCTTGGCACTTGATTTTGACCAAAAAGTCAAAGTTTGACTTTTCAGTGTACAATCAAATTTTGATCAGTTGACTGAAAAATTCATCTGTCAATCTTATGCAATTGAGATCTTTTGAACTTGTTGAATGGGTCAAGACAATGTCATTGAGTCCTTGAGTCCATGGTTGAGCTTGATTTGCCATTGGTTAGGTCAAACAGTCAAAAATTGCCTTTGTGCAGTCAAAACCCTAAAAATGACCATTTTGCCCTTTTGGTGATCTGATCAAATTTCTTGTGGAATTGTGATCCAAACTTGATCAAATGACCTATATGAGTTCATTATGTTGATGTGGGTCAAGAATCATGAGGTTTGACTGTCAATTGGCCACAGTTGACTTTTTTCCCCAATACAGTTGATTTCTAGGTCAACTGTTCAATTGACTGGGCAGAAATTTGAATCAAGGCTTGAAACTTGGTATGGACCAACTTGTGAGTCCAATATGAAGTATGGAAGTTAATTTAGGCATTGTGGGTCAAAACATCCTTGTGCAAACTCAAACCCTAATTTAGGTCAACAGTGCAAGTAAGTGTCTTGAACAGAGTAAATCCTAGCTTAATCTTCAGTTCCAAGAGTCTTGTGATGAGAAAATGTTGATGAAATGGGAGGAAAAATTTTGGGGTACAACAGTAATCTTCTAATATGGTTTTTGTTACTATTTTGTGACTGATTTTATCACTGAGTTGATTGTGGAAGTTAGAGAGGGATTGAGTATTATAGAGGCTTTTATCAAAGCATTAGGTCAACCCAAATGGGGCTTTCCCTTAATATAGGTTTTAACTCTAAACATACTATTATGTATCTGATTGAATAATCTTCAATTGAATCTAATTTGCAGTCTTTGACAAGTGATATTTTGTTTCAGACGTATCTTCAAGATCTTTTTATGAACTGATTCTTGTTACTAAATTTATTAATAAACATTTTAATTTGAAAGGGATGTTGCTAAACTTGAACTCTTCTTTATAATTATATATTTCCTCACTAAAATAAGATTGATCAATGAAAGAGATGTTACTAATTTGTGACGCAACTTGCCATTCAGAATCATTCAAGACAGATCCTACATGAGACTTAAATTTGATTTTATAATTTAGTATAATTTGAGGATGCTTCCGGAGATGTATCTATGGAAACTGGAGGACAATTTTGTTAATTCACATGTGAGTGAGGGATCCAGAAAGCGAGATAAGAAATTCTCAAAAATAAATATTTTTCTATGTAAGAATTTCTTATGAAATAAATAAGAAAGATATGAATAAGTTTTTATTTTGATTTTAAATTTTGTAATTGAGAAATAGATATAGTGATTTAGAGTTAATGGGGCCGGGTAAGAAAAAAAAAGGGTTTTGGATCCCCAATTGTAGCCTAGAGAAAATAAAGCAGAAGCCGTGGTGAGTATGATAAACTCAGCGAAATCAGCAGAAGCCGTCACAATCAGTCGATGATGGATTCCGGCGCCGTCTCCGACGCTGATCTGATTGAAAAGGAAAAGAGGTTCTACGAGTTAAAGAAATCTTACATTTTGGAATATGAAAAAGAAGAGGAGAGCATAAGTTATATTCCACTATCGTTCTACACGGGTTCCACCGTCAACCACCCTGGACCGATGCGTAAGGGTAAATCTGTCAGAAAAAACTTTATTCCACTATCGCTCTACACCACCACCGTGACTTGTAAGGGAAACAATTCCTCCGAATCAAAGATGGGTCCGATGTGTAAGGGAAACAATTCCTCCGAATCAAAGATGGGTCCGATGTGTAAGGGAAACAATTCCTCCGAATCAAAGATGGGTCCAAACAATTCCTCTGAATCAAAGATGGGTCCAAACAATTCCTCTGAATCAAAGATGGGTCTGATGTGTAAGGGAAACAATTCCTCTGAATCAAAGATGGGTTCGATGTGTAAGGGAAACAATTCCCCGGAATCAAAGGTTAGCAGAAACAGAAACTCTATTCTCGATCAAGTTCCTTTATCTATTCTTTCAAAACTGCCCATAAAATCATTGAAGCGCTTTGGATGCGTGCGCAAATCATGGTCCAATTTATTTGAAAACCCTGATTTCATGAAAATCTACACCAACCAATTCATATCGCGTCACGGTTCTGATTCTGATTATCAAACCTTTCTTCTCATAAATCAATTTCATCTGCCTGACTTACCTACATGTTTTTACCTCCATGAATTCCATTTGCTCAACAACAAACTCAAATTCAATTTGCCATCTCCATTTCCACATTCTGGCGGTTATATTTCTATTCTCACCTCCACAAGTGTTAATGGCATTTTTTTTCTTGGCCAAAATTATCTAGAAAAGGTCCAATATGTATTGTGGAATCCCGCCACCCAGGAATTCATGGCCATTCCTTCTAGCCCCGCTGAACTTACACCAAAACGCCCTCAATCCCGCCTCTATCTCGAACATTATTTCCACGGCTTTGGTTATGACCAACTTAGACATGACTTTAAGCTCATTCAGTATGTATCATCATATGATTGCGATGACCCTCATCCTCCTCTCCCAACAAAAAGTTTTTTTGAGATATATAGTTTAAAAAGTAATTCTTGGAGACAGATCGACATGGAAAATGATCTCTCTCATTGGACTTATTCTATCCCATTTTCTGGTCTTGAAGTTTATCTCCACGGAGCGTGTCATTGGTTGGTTTTGAGACCTATCAACAACGATGTTCTACATGTTCGGTTAACTCTCTTGTCATTTGACCTCGCTGACGAGTTGTTCCTTACAACACCCATCGGAGAAGAATCTTATACTCCATACACTTATAGAGCACGCTTGGCCGTGTTAAATGGATCTATTGCTTTAATCTCTAATTATCATGATGATACTATTTTTCACATATCTATTCTCGGTCAACTTGGTGTGAGTCAATCATGGATCAAACTATATGTTTCTGGCCCCGTTCCTTCTGTCCAATGGCCTCCATCTGCTGGATTTGGTAAGACGGGATGTATTTTCTTTACAAAAAAAAGTAATGAACTAGCCTACCTTGATTTGAGCACCCAAATAGTTCATGAGGTTGGTATTACTCTTGGAGAGCGAAGTTTTTTTATCACCGGTCTTTACAAGGAAAGCCTTCTTTCGATTGGAGGATTTAGTCATTAGTTCTTCTTCTGCTTCTTCTTGTTTTCACCCGTATTATATATGGATCATGTTTTATCTATTTAATTTGTGATTTGCAAACTGACTATGATGTTTTCGTTAATGGGTGTGCTCCAATTTTTCACTTATATAATTTGAGTTTCATTATATTCTATTTGAAATATATATTTACCACTGTGTATAATATTGCTCTTTTGATCTGTTTTCAACAATCCAACTCGCTTATTTCACTGTGTAGAGGTTTCATGGCTTAGTACTAGGGATGCTCATTTTAACCGGTTTCATGGTTTGCCCATAACCATATCTGGTCTGGTTTTGAAAAACTGGTGAATTTTAATTTCTGTTTTCAAACATTGATCCAATTAGTCCAAAATCCTGACCCAACCAAACCAAACCTGTTTTTTCTGTATTGCGAATAGGGATTTGTGATTCTCCATTATTTCTCAATCTCAACCATTTTTTACTTTTACGTTGAAGGAATGACAGAATCACTAATCACAGTTTGCAAATGCAAAGCTTTTTGAAAAAATCTAAACCATAAATTTTGACAGGTGAAAGTAGATTGTGACTTCCACCATAAATAAAGGGAATGAGAATGGAACAATGTAAATGTTTAACAACAACTTGTTGCTACAGTTTTAGTCACTATGATGTAAGAAGCTGCATCTAAATGTGCCAGAGATTATGCTGATTAATTTCCTCACCAAGAGTTTCATCATCTTATAGTGGTAAGTGTTTACTTTGTGTGTATTTTTTTTTCATTTGAACCATTGTATTTGTTTTCCGTTTTCAAAACATGTCGATTCACGACTTTTTGGTTGATCATTTTAATTTCTTTGAGTTGTTTGTTTCTTGTTTGAGGACAAACAATTTTAAATTGGGGAGAGTTTGATAAATGTAAATTATAGTTATTTTTGTATACATTTTTTGTGGCACTTATCAACTTTCTGTTGTTGATAGCGGTCGAATAATCCCACTTTTTGTTGTAAATACGTTTAATTGCGTTTTGTGTACATATTGTACCGGTTGATTTGTTTTGTATTCTTTTTGTAGGTATTTGAGCAAAGTTGGAGCAAGAGGAATAAAATCTCCAAGATGCGTTTTGGATCAAAAAAGGAATAAGGCTAAAAGAAGAAGCTAGTGAAGTTGTTCAGTGAAAGCAACAAAAGTTGCTTTTCTGGTGTCCGTCGTCGGGCGGTGATGTGGCGCTATGAGCGTCAGGCCGTCGCTGGGCAGTGCAGGAGCAGTGCTGAAAGAGGAGAAGCCACTGGCTTCTGACTTTGGCTCGCCAGCAGCTCGCTGGGCGAGGAAGAGTAGTAGCACCTAGCGGTGATTCCCTTCGCCGAGCGAAAGCGAGATATTTTTTCCAGATGCTTATGTGGTGCAGTCTGGGCCAAGTTAATAAGCAGCGTCAGGCGGTGATAAGCTAGCGTCGCGTGGTGCCTGTGGGACAGAACTTTGTATATAATTTATTTCATTCATTTGTTAGGGTTATGGTTTTTGGGCATAGTTTTTGCTACAAAATTCCATCAACCAAACTTTTTGATAGATTAGCTTAGAAAATAACACTAGGGCTTTGCTTATGGAAGATTGAATGTGGATTTCTCATCGACTAACGCTGACAAACCGCAATATTTGTGGTTTATCTCGTATCCTCTCTATGTATTTCTCTTTTGTTGGGTATTGTATGTATATTTACTTTGAAATCATGTATATTTGTCGTCCATGATATGTAAAACTTTCTTTACGAATCTTTATCGATTATTGTCCTGGATTTTTATTCTGTGTTAGTAATTTGGATTGTTATAGACATATATTGCTCAGATTCTTATCTAGGACGATTATCTGTTAGTTTCTGGATTCTATAGATAGATTTAGAGCTGACATTTAGTTGGTTATCTGTGATTAATGCTTTTGTGTTGGTTGTGTCGCTCTGAGAGATCGTCGACGCGATTAGTGCAGTTGACTTTTGTGTTGTTAAGGTGGTTGAGAGATCGCTACCGAGGCCATACAGTCGGTCTCTCAATTTGGGTTAGAAATGACTTGGCTGTGAGTGATACGTGTTGACATTGATGAATATCGTAGGTTGAGTATAACTGGACGATAGGTTTAAGTTTGTGATGAGTAGTGTACATTCGTACCAGATAAGTTATCTATCATTTATAGCTTTTATTTGTATTTATTTTCTGTTGATAACCTTTTCATTACCAATCCATTCAAACCTCAAACTCATTAACGAGAGATTTTTCGAACGACAATTCAATATACCAATCTCTGTGGACACGATACGATATAACCCATATCACCAGATAAAATAATATTTTACTTTTTGCTTGCCGCTATACCACTGCAAATCAAGGTCGCAGGTCAAGAGTAGGTAGTGATGAAGTGTATCATCATACTCTACACCACCGATTTCAGAAGCTGAACTCTACCTTCTAAAGGCATAAGCTTTCCAAGCGGCTAATTTGGTTTTGATCTTATCCGTAATTGGCTGGAAATATACCTTATTTGGTCTTCCCCTAAAAATAGGAACACTGAGGTAAAGGTACGAAAGCTGACCAACAATGAAATCGGTTTTAGCAGCTAACATACGATGTCGATCAATAGACACAGAGCCAACATACATGCTAGATTTAGAGGTGTTACAAACATGTCCTAAACAAACCGCATATTTTTTAAAACGCTCGACAATTGCATCAATGGAAGAGGTGTAACCTTTGGTGAACACCATGATGTCATCCGCCTATATGGTGTGAGAAGGGACCATCATACCTATAGGTAGTCATAAGGTTGACTTGATTAGTTATGGCCAGATGAGAAAGACCTCTATTGAGCACCTCATTTCCAATGCAAAAGAGCAAAGGGGAAAGAGGGTCCCCCTGCCTCACCCCCTTTGACATTTGAAAAACCCGTGCAGCTGACCATTAACGGATATTGAGACATTATCCAGCTCCAAGATACACCTAATCTAGTTGTAAAATGTGTCATTAAAACCAAATTGTTTAAGGACTTTGATAAAAAAAATCCATCTCAGAGTATAGAACGCTTTAGCAATATGAATTTTTATAATGATGTTGCCATTGTTGCTCTTTTAGTGAAGAAGATTCGCCACTTCTAAAGTCAACCCAATGCAATCCTTGATGCTTCTACCATGGATGAAAGCCATTTTCTCCTTAGAAATAATATGTGGCATAACCTGTGCAAGTCTATCTTCCAAAATCTCGGGTAATAAGCCTGGATTTGTTGACATAAGGTATAAGTCTAAAAGTATTACACAAAATTTCAACTATTAAAATAAATTAATTAAACAGTCAGATAAGTAGTCTATTTTTTTTACACAAGAAATGGTCATATTTTTTTAATTTCATTTAATATGATTGTTTAATTCAATCCTATTAACGGTTGAGATTTGATGTAAGATTTTTAAACTTACACATGGTGTTAACGAAAAGTACAGGTGTGTATGTTCCCTTTGCAAGTGCAGGATGACTAAAAGGCATTAGTAGGTTTATAACACAATATGGTCACTAGAGCTTGTCTACAATGGTGAAAAGTCTTATACAATGGTGTTTTGAAGTAATTTAGAAAACTTGCTCACGTGAGGTGAGAGACTCTATTGATGGATGATATGTTTGATAGCAAGCGTATAATTACTTACAGTCGTGTATTGAGCCTGTAGTGAGCATTGCCCTCTTTAGGATGTAGAAAATGTATATCACTTAGTGACATCAACCACTCCCATCCACTACTCTAAAACATATTTACAGTGAAGATAAATTAGCACAACTATTTATTTTCCGTGGTAATATCTTATTTTTTACGTGCATTATTTTATTTTATTTAATTAAGAAATATTTTATCATGGTTCTTAAACTCAATTGTGGTCATATAATTTGGGTGACAAGTTTTGAATCTCAGCATCAACATTTTTTCCATTTTTACAGTAAAAATAAGTGTGTCCCTTAATTTTTTTATTTAAACATTGAAAATATAACAATTACGGTTGTTTTATTCAACTGTGGTTATACGTTTCATATATCACCACAGTTGAACTTTGAAATCATTATGAAATTTCCCCCACAAAATTAAAACATAACATATACTTTATTTCGTTCATAACACACATGGGTGCCCTAGCGAACGAGACTACAACGATAGCGAAATCTCCACCGTCCTCTTCGAATATCATTTTTAGAAGCGAAATTTTCACCATCCTCTTCGAATATCATTTTTGGAAGAGGAATCTTCACCATCCTCTTCGAATATCATTTATGGTACATCGCCATTCTCTCTATCTAACACTTATGAATGTTTAGGGTTACCACATCTGTTTATGTTCCTATGAATGTGTATTGTTCATGTTTTAAATTTTGTGTGTGAAGTATTAATGTGGATTGTTTTGTTTTGATTGTATTCATATTTTGTAGTATATGACCATAGAATGAAACCTGATATATTAGTGTATATGAGAAAATTTTAGATTAGTGTGTACGTCAAACTAAGAGTTAAGATACGCTTATAGAATTCTTTGAATAAAACTTTAAGATTAGTGTATATGAGAAAACCCTAGATTAGTGTGCAACCTTAAGAAACTTTTATAGAATTCCTTGAATAAAACTTGCATTAAATAAACCTTAACCTGAAAACTTACAAAAAATCTAGAAATTCTTTTATTAGTCATATCTAAATTCTCTGGCTGAGAGAAAGTTTAACCAAGTATAATATGCATCATCATCATCATCATCATCATCATCAGAATCAATGATGATTGGATTTTTTTACCATTCTTCTTCTTGATCTCCTCTTCCTGAGAGCTCTCCTGGGTCTAAAAGATTCGGTTGAACAAGAGCCTCTTTCAACGACTTGGACCTCTTCTTGATTCAGAGGACGGTTTTGCACAAGAGTTATGGCCTCTACAGCCATAACAACTTCTCCCAGCATTTTTGAAAGCTTCAACAAATATACTCATTTTGATTCTTTCTTATCTCTGATTTCTTTGG